AGTCTCTCCCCTTGACGCTTACGAAAGTTCCAGGATAGTTATATTGTAGAATGATTAGATTCAGAGCAGACATCTTGGGCAGGAATAGCACAGAGGGGATGTTGTGTGTTCGTCTCATTGCATCCCATCAGATGGCACACAATTTCTATCTCTCTTTACTGATGATTTTCACTTCAATCATTTGATTAAAGCAGTGTCTGCCGGCTTCTCCGCTGTAGTTATTATTTTTCCCTTTTCATTAATAAGAATTTTGTTGGAAGTTACTTTGAAACTATGTGATATTTTGTGCCTCATCAAACTTTCAATTGAATCATTTAATTTATATCGGTATGTACTCGCTAATAGCTATCTTATTCAAGACATTATTCAGTGGATACTAATCCATTAGTAGTATTATTTATTTTGATGCTCAATTTGTCCAGTGGGAGCCCCTTCACTCTAGCTCCTGTATCATTTTGTCATGACCACCATTCTTTGAGCACTTCACTGCTTTCTGGCACAAGATGTTCCAGGATTATCTTATACTTTCCCCACCCCATTCCTGAAATCAGCCATTTCTATAAGTCCTAGTACTATCAGTAAAGAATGGTATTTAGAATCAACATTTGGGTGCTAAGTATGCTCATCGCTATTGGGAAATCACCACTCCATCTCAGTGGACAGAGCTCAGAATATACACATGCATATTTATACACACACACACAACACATATAATGGGTATAATATACATATATATAAATATATGATACACGCATTACACATATATTTCCACATACACACATTTATAACTATGTATATATAGAATGAGAGATAAATATATTTCAAGTCATAAATTCATACTAATGCTACCAATTGCAATCCAATACCACAAAGTTCATTCTAGTTTTCCCCCTTTATTTCCTTCTTTTCTAGTGAAAAATCTGGATACTATTATCCTTACTAGTTTTACTTATTTGATCAATCCCCCTGTATATATAAGTAATCTCCCATTGCTGCTGCCACACCTGGCCCCAAAGAGATGTCTTCCTCACCCACGCAGGCTCCAACGTCCTGCACTGTCTGCTCTCCTGCAGACTTTACCTCCATCCCCTGATTAGGGCCAGGCACCGCAGAGTGGGCTGCCTCTACATAGAAGCCCTTGTCACTCTGCTCAGCTCTGAGGCCAGTGGCCAGGCCGCCCCTCTGCAGAAGGGCCCACCTCACTGTGCTCAGGCTCTAAGACTCCACACAGGGCCACTCTCCTACCTGGATGACATCCTTACCTGGCTCAGCATGTAATTCCCTGATCTGGGCCCTTAGGCTCCCTCCCTGCATTTCCCCACCTCATGGCTATAGGACCCATTCTGGGAAGGAAGGGAAGGAAAAGGGGATGGGAGGCAGAGACAGAAGACCAGGAAGAGGAAGAGCCAGTTGAACTAATTCTTAAAAGTTTATATAATGTAATTTTAAATGTGATGATAAATTTATGGTCAAAATTTTGATACATCAGATTCAACCCTATTAAAGATAGGCTCATACTTGACCTATTCCTTTAAACAGTTTAAATGCCTTAAAAGGAAAAACTGCTCAAGTTTTCTACTTAGATATAGAGTAACACAATGTCAGGCACATGTAGGTGCTTGAATAATATTCATTCCAACAAATAACTATTACCAGGGACTTGCCCTGGGTGCAGAGGGGAGTATCTAGAAAGGGAGGCGGTTGATCAAGGAAACATAAGCCATGTAACTCTAGAAGCTAAAAATGATCATTTCAAATGACTCTCCTGCAAATATTTTTCAAAAGATAAACAAGACCCATTCTCAATTTGTTCCACGTAAAATAGGAATAACAGTGATGTTTGAATATTCCCATCTACATATTTCTCCTTTACAAAGATATTTTACATTTCTTATTATTTTTTGTGTGTGTGAGGAAGATCAGCCCTGAGCTAACATCCATGCTAATCCTCCTCTTTGTGCTGAGGAAGACCGGCTCTGAGCTAACATCTATTGCCAACCCTCCTCCTCTTTGTCCCCCAAAGTCCCAGTAGATGGTTGTATGTCATAGTTGCACCTCCTGCTAGTTGCTGTATGTGGGACGCGGCCTCAGCATGGCCGGAGAAGCGGTGCGTCAGTGCGCGCCCGGGATCCGAACTGGGGCCGCCAGTAGCAGAGCGCGCGCACTTAACCGCTAAGCCACGGGGCCAGCCCTACATTTCTTATTTAATTGAAACAGCCTAAAAGAGTTAAGGTGAGTCCCTGTGCTTAACTTGATTCCAGGGCTCAAAATGCATGAGCAGCGAGCCCCATGGCTTAGAGGTTAAGTGCTCGCGCTCCGCTACTAGCGCCCGGGTTCAGATCCCGGGTGCCCACCAATGCACTGCTTGTCAGGCCATGCTGAGGCCGCGTCCCACATACAGCAACTAGAAGGATGTGCAACTATGACATACAACTATCTAGTGGGGCTTTGGGGAGAAAAGGGGGGGGAACGTGTCAGCATGCTCTTCAGCTCAAATCAAGCATTTAAGTTCACACACTGTGCTCTCTGTCGGTAGTTCTAAACTTCCATAGACATACCGAGTTATCTCAGAAAGACAATTGAGTATTGTGTTTAAGAAAACAGGCTTGGGAGTCAGATCGGACCATGCTAAATCTCCTGCTCTACTGCTTAACTATGTGTAAGTGGGCAAATATTTAACCTCTCTAAATTCCAATTTTCTCATCTGAAAGTCAGAGATAATAAAAGCTAACCCATAGGGCTACAAGCTGCATAAAGCAATGCCTGGCACATAGTTGTTATATAGTAAATATAAAAAATTTTAACCATTTTTATTATTAAACTTTGGCCCAAAGTCTTAGGTTTATAGAACACCTATTTCCAAGTAGTTCAAAGCACCTAGAAGAAAAAACAGCCAGTAAAATTCACAATATCCTTTAACAACGAGGAAAATGAATCTCATGAAGATCAATACAGAATCTATAAAACGAGATGAGGTTGCCTGACAATTTTTCGTTCTGCCTTAAAATGAGATGCTACTTCATGCCTTTTACATGGCACATTATTCCACAATTTTAGCTTAAGTGGAGCTAAAAGGACAGGCCTTACACTATATACACAAAGACATTTGCCATACATACGTACATCATCCCATTTATTTACAACTTTGTTAATTTACTCCACTGTCATTTATTTGTTTCCTACTTTTTTTCTCTGTAGAAGTCTGCTCTGAACGTCAATTTAAACCTTACTCCCTGATGCCAACAGAATAACTATCTCCCCAACAGTGCACTCTCTAGGCCATTATCATTTTAAAGCAGTGGTTATCAACCGCTCAGAATCACATAATTAAAATCACACGGGAGCTTTAAAATTCCTGAGGTCCAGGCTGAATCCCAGGCCAACTGAATCAAAATTTTTGAGGGTGGGATCCAGGTATCAGTATTTATTTTTTTTTTTTT